AGAGAGATGGGCGAGGAGTCGCAGGCAGACGGGTCCAGGGCTCTGCGGACCCAAGGACGGGCCGGGGCATCTGTGTCCGCAATCCACGCGCTTGCCCCGCCCCCTGGTTTGTCCCGCAGGAGGCCCCGCCCCTTCTATACGCATTGCGGGGCGGCAGGAGGTTGGCAACTTGCCCCTGGCGCCGCACGTGGCGCCCCTTTGGGGTCTGGGGAGAGGGAAATCCGGAGACCACCCCCCCCTTTTCCCCGGCTGAGTTGCTGCCTCCACTGGGCAGGGGCTGGGGTAACTAAGCTGAGCAGACTCAAGTAGGGAGGAGTGACGTCAGGGTGTGTGGGAGCCAAGGAAGCAGCGAGGAGGGAGAAAGAGCTGGAGAGCTCGAGCGAGACGGGGGGAGGGAGGGAGGGAGAGAACCCGCCGGTCGGGTGGAATGAGACTAGAGGGCAGGTAGGAGAGGGGGCGGGGAGGAGAGAAGCCTCTGCGGAGGGCGGCTGGTTGCAGGTCCCCAGGGCTGCGGGTCCAGGTGGGGTCGGGACTGCTGTCCGGGAAGCTAGAAGGAAAGGGGCGGGAGGTGGGTGCAGGGAGGAGGGGAAAGGGGAGAGGGAGACAGAGGGTGAGAGAGGAAACTGCCGGAAGGAGAAAGAAGAGGTAAGAGAGAGGAGAGAGGCAGAGGAAAGAGAGGGAAAGGAGGGTTAAAGGTGCACGAAGGAGAGAAAGAGGGAGACACGGGGCGGGGGGAAGAGCTCAGGAGAGAGAATAGAGTGGGAATGTGGAAGGGAGACAGCCTGGGGGGTAACCAGGGAGCAGCTATGGAGGAAGAACTGGGGGGCCAGGGCGACTGGGGTCTGGAGGATGCCCCAGACCTCTTGGCCATGGCCTCCCCGCCCATCGTTCCCTCATGGCCGTTGCCACTGGCCTCCTCAGCCTTCACCCTGCTCCTCGGAGCCCTCACTTCTCTCTTCCTCTGGTACTGCTATTGCTTAGGCTCCCAAGACATGCAGGCCCTGGCAGTTGGGAGTCGGGTTGGGGGTGTCAGTGGTGGGCCTGGGGGATGCTCTGAGGTTGGCAGGCCAAGCCTAGGGAGCTCTGGGGAGCCTGGGGAAGGACCTAGGACAGAAGGTCTAGTGAGCCGTCGCCTCCGGGCCTACGCCAGGCGCTACTCCTGGGCAGGGATGGGTAGGGTGAGGCGGGCAGCTCAAGGTGGCCCAGTCCCTGGGGGAGGGCCAGGTGTCCTGGGCATTCAGCGCCCAGGCCTGCTTTTCCTGCCAGACCTGCCCTCAGTGCCCTTCGTGCCGCGGGATGCCCAGCGACATGATGTGGAGCTCCTGGAAAGCAGCTTCCCTGCTATTTTGCGGGACTTCGGGGCTGTGAGCTGGGATTTCTCAGGGACTACCCCTCTGCCTCGGGGCTGGTCCCCAGCACTGGCTCCCGGGTGCTACCAGCTCCTGCTGTACCAAGCAGGCCGGTGCCAACCCAGCAACTGCCGCCGGTGCCCCAGGGCCTATCGGGCACTGAGGGGGCTGCGGAGCTTCATGAGCGCCAACACCTTCGGCAATGCTGGCTTTTCTGTCCTTCTTCCTGGAGCCCGGCTTGAAGGCCGCTGTGGGCCCACCAATGCCCGGGTGAGATGCCATCTGGGTAAGTAGATGATGCCTGCAGACAACATCCTTGCCTCTTCTCTGCCACCAGAGCTTTCTACACTGTGGTTCTGACCATGCCTCTTCTCAGAAATCTTCCACTACAGCAGCGGCCTCCCCTGAGCTTCAGTTATCTGCAAACCATTTTCATAAGCTTTGCCGTAGTCATTTACCACCTGTACTATGTTTCTTCATATGGACTCCACCACATTTTGTTTTACTTATTTAAAAGGAATTTTTATAGAACAATGATAATCAGTATTACTTGTCCTAAATAGAAAGGACTCATAAAAACAAATTTAAACTTAAAAAAAGGCTTTACAAATTTTGGCCAAGGACTCTAGTCTCTCCAAGACTGAAGCCTACACTCTCTTCGCTTAGGAGGGAGTGATGTTAGTGGTTGTTAATGTCATGGTAGCACCAAACTGAGATTTTCTCTTTTTGGTATTTTAAAAACTGAGAGAAAATGGAAAAACAAATTTCCGATTATTTAATTCCATGACCGTGTTGTGCTACCAGGTGGATGTGTCCTCCACTTTGAGGTACACTGGCCTCAGGATCAAGCCTAGATCCTTTCTCTCCTCATCTCCCATCTGTTCCCTTCCTTGCCTTCCATCCCACCATGCTCTAAAAAATAAAAGCCTGCTGGCTAATCCTGGCAGACACCACACTCATGCTATACCCTTAACCTAAAATGTCTTTACCTTTATCATTTTATCACCTCCTGGAAAACTCCTACTTAGCCTTCAGGACTTATGTTTCAAGTGTCACCTCCTCTGGGATGTCTTCTTACTCCTTGTCACGGGAAGCGGCTGCTCAGTTTTCTCACAGTACTCTACTGTGTGGTCCCTGGGCAAGGATGGAGTCATTAGTTTTCTCTCTCGCAGGGAGGGAAGGCCCAGAAAACAATAGGTTCTTGAGTTAAACTGCCAGAAGCCCAGGAGGAGATGCCACTTCCTCCAGGAAGCCCTCCCTTTTCTCTGAAACTGAACAGACTGCGCTTTGCACTGCATATTTCTGTAACTCCTAGCACTTCTTTCAGCCAGTATTGTTTTATAATTATATTCTGGTTATCTTCCAGAGCAAGGAGGAACCACCATAGAACCTGGTGTTTAAGACCCTCAGTCTGTTTTTTGACTCAATGGGGTGGGCCCCTTCCATGGGGGCAGGAATGTTGGATGCCTGGATCTTTTTTCACAGGTCTGAAGATCCCCCCTGGCTGTGAGCTGGTGGTTGGGGGTGAGCCCCAGTGCTGGGCTGAAGGACACTGTCTACTGGTGGATGACTCCTTCCTGCACACAGTGGCTCATAATGGTAATGGGGCTCCCATTCTGCTAGGAGGGGCAAAGAGTGAAGGGGAATAGATGAGAGGCTGCAGAATCAGGCCCACTGGCTTGCTGTCCCAGCATCACCATTTTCCAGGTGCATAACCTTGAACAAGTCACATAACTTTTCCAATCACCTGTGAAATGGGGAAACTGCTTTCTTGATCAGGTGTCTGAAGCATTAAATAAATTAATGTAGGTGCAAAGTGGTTAACAGCACAAGACCCTGGGCCTAGACCACCTGGGTTCCTGTGCTACCTCTGGCACTTACGATGGTTAGATGCCACCAAGTAGGTGGCAATGCCGTAACCTAACCACATACATGTTGTCAGGCCTGAGGGCCTCCTCCACCCTTGTCGAGGGGAGCGCTAATCTTCTCTTCTTTTATACAACACATACCTCTGGTACTTACTAGCTGTATGAGCTTGGGAAAGTTATTTAACCTGTTACTTTGTATAAAATAGGAATAATTATGGAACTACTTCAGAGTTTGTTTTGATGGTTGAGTTAATGCACATAAGGAGTTAAAACAGTGCCTGGCATTTACTTACAAAGTGTTTGCTTTTTTCAGTATATGGTGAGCTCTCTGGCACATAAGTACTTAATGTCAGTTACTCTCCTATCTCCATTCCCATGTACTCTAGGCTCCCCTGAAGATGGGCCTCGAGTGGTATTCATCGTGGACCTTTGGCATCCCAATGTGGCTGGGGCTGAGCGCCAGGCCCTCGACTTTGTCTTTGCACCAGACCCTTGAAGGAAGGAAGGTGTTGCTTTCAGACATCTGGGCTAGAGAGATGCAGCACTCAGGGATGGCTTGCATGGTAGCTAGGACCTCCTCTCCATTGCAGGAGGTGGGGTGGGGCTGAGGGTGGGAACTGGCTAGTGAACACTGAAATACAAATCTTAAATCCTCTCCTAACTCCTGGCTACTTTCTTCCCAGCTACCAGCCCCAGGGCAGGGGCACAGGTCTTCTCCCATCCAACTAGCTAAGTACCTCCTTAACACAAGCCATCTCCCTGGCCCTCACCCTGGGAGTTAGCACCAGATCCTCAATTCAACTTTATTCCAATAATTTAATAGAAAATTAAAATAATAAATAATATGAAACAGACTGAGAAGATAGCTGAGCTGGTGCAGGCCGAGGCCAGCCTAATACAAAGTTAAGGGGGTAGGGAGAATGGTAAGGGAAAGAGGGAGGAACAATACCCTGAACAATGGTTGGGAGGCAGCTCAGAATGTGGAGGGTATTATTAAGGGGCTGCCTTGACACTTTGGCATGTACAATGTACTAAAAAAAGAGAAAGGTAATTCTAAATCATTTTAAACCAGCTGACAAGGGAAAACAGCAGAGCAAGGGTGGTGATGAGGGAATGAATATAGGCCTTCTGAAGGGATCTGAGGGAAGGGGCTGGAATGTACCATGTTATTAGCAATGATATGAGAATGAATGGAAAAGGGCCAAAGTGAACTGTACCATGCAGTAAAGGGACAGAAGGGAGACCCACGGCTTGGCCAGCAAAGCCGGGGTGAAGGTGTGGGAAGGGGAGGAAAAGAAAGAGGGACTGGGCCCCAGTGGCAGGCGGAAAACAAGGAGAAAGGTCAAGATCAGTCCTTGAAGACAATTTGTTGGCCATGAGGACGCTCGTCATGGGTGATGTGGCGCCGGACATGGATCCTGCGGACACGGTGCTCTCGGTTCTCCTCATCCTCCCCTCGGCCCGCCCCACCACCTCCAGCTACACCCCCTGTGGCCTCCAGGAGGGCTGGGTCTGGGCCCCTGGGAGTCTCGTAGATCAGGATGTTCAGGGTCTCCTCAAAGATCCGGGCCTCTGGGAATTCCACCTGCAAAAGGCCAGCAATCCCCAGCTCCCATCCCCTGGTCCAGCCACACAGTGACCCCTTTCCCCCCGGATGCTCCTGCACTGGCACACCTCCTAGTCTTTGCAATCACGGGTTCTTTGGCCTGAACTGTCCTCTTTGCAAGTTCTTTACTCAGCAAAGTCACACTTATACTTCAAGGTGCAGCTCTGAAGTCAGGCAGTCATTTATTTTCTCTCCTTTGCTACCAAGTCTCTCGGTGTATTCTTTCATTAGACAAATATTTACTAAATGACTACAAACAGGTATTGTTCTAGACACTGGAAATAGAGCAGCGAACAAAACAAAGTTTCTATCCACAGGAAGTTTGCATTCTAGGGAGAGGACGCAGACATACATTTAATAAAATACAAACTGTCAGATGATCACAAATGTTATGAAAAAAACTATAGCAGGAAAAGGGGTGGGGATGGTGATGGCCAGGAATACTGTAAAAGGGAATTCAGAGAAGGCCTCACTGAGATGACACTTGACCAATGGCCAAAGGAGGGGAGGGAAGGAGCCAGTGCGTAACCAGAGGAAGAGCAGTCTGGGAAGAGGCAATGGCAAGTGTAAAAGCTCTGGGGCAGCACTGGGCTAGTGTATTATTTGAACATAAGCAGCAAGGCCAATGCAACGACAGTGATGAAAAGAGAGTAGAAGGGATGAGGCAAAGAGGTGATTGGGGGTTCCTCTTGTGTGGCTTGGAGAAATATAATTAACATAACTCTTAACAAGTTGCATTCTAATTACTGGTTTATCTTCCTGTCTTCCCAACAACAGAGGAAGCCTCTTAGAAGCAGGGTCATGCATTCAATAAATGTTTCCTAGCTTCCACTGTGTGAGAAACACTTCTACTGGCCTCCACTAGTGGTAGAGAAATAGGAGAAAAAAGATACAGCCCTAGTCACAAGGAGCTAACACCTTACTACTGAAGAAAACCCCCTCGCCACCCTCGCCATCTCCAGACCACAATAAACACTGTATTTAGCTAAGAAAGGAGTATGACCAACTTTGTCTGGGGTTGTTGGGGCGAAAGTTCATGTGTGGACATGTCTCAAAGTGATGCTTGGCTTGGGTCTTAAAGATTAAGCACAAGTTCATCAGGCAGACAGGAATGAGGAAAATTAATTCCAAGAAAAAGGAATAATGTTGCCCTGACCCATGTGGCTAAGTGGTTAGAGCATCGGTCCATGCACTTAAAGGGTCTTGGGTTCAATTCCTAGTAAAAGGTACATACCTGGGTTGCAGGTTCAATCCCTGGCCCTAGTTGGGGCACATGCGGGAGGCAACCAATCAATGTCTCTCACATCAATGTTTCTCCCCCTCCCTCTCTCCCTCCCTCTCTCCCTTCCACTCTCTCTAAAAGTCAATGGAAAAAATATCCTCAGGCCTGGCCGGCGTGGCTCAGTGGTTGAGCATCGAACAAGGAACCAGGAGGTCAAGGTTCGATTCCTGGTCAGGGCACATACCCAGGTTGTAGGCTTGATCCCCAGTAGGGGTCGTGCAGGAGGCAGCCTATTAATGACTCTCATCATTGATGTTTCTATCTCCCTCTCCCTTCCTCTCTCTCTAAAATCAATAAAAACATTTAAATATATATATATATATCCTCGGATGAGGATTAACAAAAAAAAGATAAAGGAATACTGTGTACAAACTTGGGGAGTGTGAAATAGCACTGGTTACTTAGAGACTTGCAAGAACCCTGGTGTACCTGAGGCACATCACTCATAGGAGGGTCAGAAGAGACCAGGCTGATAAGATCGTCAGAGGCTAGATGGTATGACATCATGATTTACAGTTAAGACCCCAGAACTTGGAACTCTGGCTCCTCTCAGTGATGGACTTTCCCCTGCCTGATCTGCTGAGTTGCCTTTGTCCAGGGCCCTGGTCCTGCCAACCACCATGGCCCTCCCTGACCAGGCCCTGAGCCCCTTCTGACCTTGGTCTGCTTCTTCTCCGTGGCATAGACAATGGAGGTGCAGCACACCTCGGCGATTTTGCGGCCCTGCCCGTAGAAAGACCAGCAGCAGATCTCGTCCCCCAGGACATCCTTGAGGAAGAGCAGCCGCCCGTGGAAGCGCAGGGCCAGTTTGTCAAACAGCTCGATGTTCTTAAGTAGGTTGTCATCTGAAGTGCTGAAGACCAGGGGCCAGGAGGCCTCAGCACAACTGGCTTCCCTCCCTCTGTTCCCCCCAGGACAGGGCCCATATACCCAGCACTCTGGTCCTGCCCAGAGCAGCGAGTTTCCTCCACCCCTGGGGCCAGGCCAAGCAGGCTTCAGCAAGGAAGTAGCATTATCTGAGCAAACCCCAGCATGGCACAGTGGCTATCTGTGCAGTCTCTGGAGTCAGGCTGCATCACCTGGCATCCTAGCTCCACCACTTTGTAACTGGGTGAAACCAGGCAAATTACTTCACCTCTTGGTGCCTCAATTTCCTTAGCTGTAAAAAGGAGATCGCAACAGTACCTCCCTCAAACAACTGTGAGGATTATGAGTTAATATATGTAAAGTACTTAGAGTAATGCCTGTGATAAAATAAGCACTTGGTAAATGCTAGTTATTATCATCTAATCCTCACCAGAGCCCGTTTACTGATTAAAACTAATGCTCAGAAGTGAAAATGACCTGTCCGAAGTACCCAGTGGATAAGTGGCAGAGCTGGAATTCCCATTCAGGCAGGCACTCTATTCGTCCGTGTGTGTGGCCATAGCCCTCCCCTTGAGCCAGGAGCAGGGCTGTCTGGAGCCCAGGATTCCACCCAGTGCACCTCCCTAGCCCCATGGCAGTCACCTCGTGTAGGAGTACTTGTTGTTACTGCGGTTGTGCAGGAGCTTCACCACGGGCTGTTGGGGGAGAGAGGATGGAGAAGCATGGGGCTCAGGCTGCAGGAAGAGGCCCACAACCGCCACCCTACAGGGCTCAGGGGCCTCACCTTGGAGGTGCTGGCCAGGAGCTGCTGCTCCTCCTGGGGAGATGTCACCATGGGGATGAGGCACAGCGGGGACAGGTTCTCCCTTTTTTGCTGGAGAAGAAGCGGAAGGTGGTTAACAGCACAACCAAAGGTCACTCACTCACCACTTAAAAGCTTTCAAAAGCTGCTTGCAGCCTTTGGGAAAAAATCCAGACTCAATTGTCCACAAGGCTCTGCAGCATCGGACATCTCTGATTTTGTCCCTACCCATCTCCCCTGCCTGCTGGGCTTCAGCCCCACCAATGGCCTGTTGTGTAGCATGTCCAGTGTGTCCCCACCTAGCCCTTTGCTATTCCCACTACCAGAAACAGTGTGCACTCAGCTGTCTGCATGACTGGCTCCTCTATACCATTCAGATCTCAACTCAAATAGTGCCCCTCAGAGGGTGCTGGCCCTCCTCCCTAAGCTCCCAGGCTGAAGCAGCCTCCTCTACTTCCTTTTCACAGAATCAGTTCACTTTCTTCATGGCACTCAGTTCATTTTTTCTCAGTTTCTGGTCTATTTGCTAATGGTCTGTCTCTTCCCATCTAGGTGATAAGTGCCTCATGTACAATAGTGCTCAGTAAGTATCTGTTAAATGAATGAACCTGACTGGGTGGGAGGCTGGAGGCAGAATCAGAACCAGACACATAGGCTTCTTTCCTTTTCTCTGTCTTCTAGAATCTTCATGCCAGAACTCCTCTCACCTCTCCCAACTTAAAAACTAGATGTGCAATTCTAACACAAATTCCAAAAAAAATTTTTGAGACACTCATAAAACTTTTTCTAAAATTAATATGGAATAAAAGTCTACTATTCGTAGGTCAATTTAGAAAAGAGCCAAGGGGAAAAGCCAACCTTACCAGATATTAAAATATCCTACAAAACCATAATAATGAAAACAGGGTAGTTTAGTTGCAGAAACAAACAAAAACAATGGAACAAAACAGAGAGCTTGGAAACAAGACTAATGTATATCTGAGAACTGATATTTACAAAGAAGATACCACAAATCAGTGGGGAAAGCACGGAATGTGTATTGGTTATTGCTATGTAACAAACTTCCAAAATTTAGCAGTTTAAATCAACAATCAACATGTCTCAGTTTCTGTGGAGCAGGAATTCAGGAGTGGCTTAGCTGGGTGGTCATAACATGGCAGCTGGCTTTTCCAAGGCAAGTAATTCCAGAGGGAGCAAGGTGGAGGCCTCAGTGGCTTTTATGACCTAGTTTTGTCAGTCCTATTCAGTGTGGGAGGAAGCTACAAAGAGAACACTGAAAACAAGAATCACTGGGGACTGCCTTAGAGGCCGGCTCCCACTGATTCAAGTCCCTCCCATATGCAAAACACACTCACCCCCTCCAATGGTCCTCCAAAGTCTCATCTCATTACAGCATCAGCCTGAAGTACAGAATCTTGTTATCTAAATCAGGTCCACGTGAGGATGAGGCATCTTGGATGTAGTTCCTTAACTATAGCTCCTTAAGTACATCTGTTCTTGATCTGAAGGCCAGTGAACTAGAGACAAGTTGTCTCTTCCATACACACAATTCACAATGGTAGAATAGGCATTAGGATACTCACTAGCACACTCTTGTTCAAAAGGGCAGGGCAGGGGACAGGAGACACCTAGAAGTCACTGTATCACGGAAATTTTTTTTTTAAATCCTCACCTGAGAATATTTTTTCCATTTATTTTTAGAGAGAATGGAAGGGAGGGGAGGGTGGGGAGAGAGGAAAGGGAGAGAGAAACACAGATGTAACAGACACACATCAATTGGTTGCCTCCCACACCCCCTCCCAGGGGGGAAGGAGTTGGACCTGCAACCCAGGTACGCGCCCTTGACCACGAATTGAACCCGAGACCCTCCAGTTGCAGAGGCCAATGCTCCAACCATTGAGCCATGCTGGCCAGGGCTTCACGGAAATTCTTGATTCAGATGGACACATGTTGGGAGCTCTCTGATGCCTATTCTTGCCCCAAAATGATTCTCTTTGGCTCTTGGCTCTGCCCTGAGTCATCCTTCCTTTTCCATGAAAGAGTCCATACTTACAGCTCCATGATTTCCTTAGCCTGTTTGCTGCCTATAGAACTTTGGGGGAGGAGGTGTCTGAAGGCCTCTTCTCCTCTTGCACTGCCTCTGTTCCTTTCAGTGTTTCTGCCAATAGAATTCTCTTAAACATTTATTGGGTGTCTTCTCTTGTGAGTCTTGAGATTCACTTCATTAGGCAAAAGCCACACACTCACAAATCTCTGTGAAATAAGTTCTCCTCTACTTTGGGCTTGTGCTGAGACTGCTAGGGACAACACCTTTAAGCTTCTTAGATGCACTATTATTTGATTGAATGAATCTCTGAGGTATCTTCTTTGAAATTTTTGAGATTTTAACAAAAGATTTAACAACTGCATCCTCAGCTTCAGTATGTTTTCTACTTTCTACATTACTGGAGTCCAGATAGTGTTGCTAAACTTCTGCCACTACATAACAAGGATCGCCTTTGCACCAGTTAACACTTTCCTCACTGCAGCCTCCTCAAAGGTCAACTCTTTAGGCTTTTATTAACACCCTCTTCAAAGTCCTTCCAGCTTCTGCCCATTTCCCAGTTCTAAAGCCACACCCACATTTTAAGTTTTTGTTATGGCAGAATCCCACTCCAGATATCAAAATCTGTTATCTACTGCTGGGTAACAAATTACTACAAACTTATTGGCTTAAAACAATAAACATTTATTCTCTCACAGTTTCTGGAGGTTGGGAACTTGAAATTGGCTTAGCTAGGTGGTCCTGGCCCACGGTCTCTCATGAAGCTGGAGTCCAGATGTTGGCCAGGGCTGTAGTTATCTGAAGACCTGACTGGGCCTCAAGGATCCGCTTCTGAGATAGTTCACCCATATGACTGGGAGTTTGTGCTGGCTGTTGGCAGGAGGCTTCAGTTCCTCACCAAGCAGACCTCTCCCTAGGGCTGCTTGAGTATCCTCACATGGCAGCTGGCTCCCCCCAGAATAAGTGATCCAAGACAGGGGCAGAAACAGCAATGTCTTTTATGGCCTAGCTTTAAAAGTCACACACTATCATTTCTGTAATATGCTCCTGGTTACACAGGTCAGCCCTACTCAGTGAGGGAGGGGACTAAACATGAGCCAGAGTGAGGAGGAGGCAAGAATTCTGAACACTTTTGGTGGCCATTTCGGACAGTGGCTAGCACAGGCTGTTAATAGATGCACTGGGAAGCCAGCTCACTCTGAGGAGGAAGGAGGACAAGAGTTAAATCCCCTCAAAATTCCTATTTACCCCAGTGGATTCTACATTTAGATTAAAAGACCCATATAAAAAAGATAAAAGTATAAAGCTATTTTAAAAATGTAGAATGGGAAAAAGTTTTAAACAACATCCTAAAAGGAAACATCTTTAGGCAAAAAAAAAAAAAGGAAAAAGTATTTGACTACATTAAATTAAGAATTTCGTGCCCGGCCGGGTGTGGCTCAGTGGTTAAGCATCAACCTAGGATCCAGGCGATCAGGGTTCGATTCCCGGTCAGGGCACATGCCCGGGTTGCGGGCTGCAGCCGATCAGTGACTCTCTCATCATTGATGTTTCTATCTCTCTCTCTCCCTCTCCCTTCCTCTCTCTGAAATCAATAAAGATATATTTAAGAAAAAGAATTTCGCATTTATGCACAACCCAAGGACATGGACAATGGTGGGGAGAGGGATGGGACGGGGTGGAACGGGTCATTGGGGAGAAAAAGGGACATATGTAATATTTTAAACAAAACAAAAAATTAAAAAGAAAAAATATATATATTTCTCTTCCTGACAATGGAAACCTTACAAATAATCCCACGTAATAATGTTGAAGGAATGATAGAATTATAATTATTCTACAACCCTAATGAAATTATTGATTCAGATTTCAGGTAAGGGTTATCAGCTGGTGTGTGGTTGATAGGTAATTGCCATTCATATAGTGCCAAAATAACATCACACAGATTACTTAATAGTTGGCAACGAGGGAATGTAACTACAATGGAAGGATTACACCAACATCACCTGAATCAAGGGGCTAATTCTGAGCATCACTAATGATGAGTCATATTAACATTATGCATCTCGATATAACGCAATATGAAATATATAAAATTACCTAAAATGTATTCTAACCAAAATGTTTAATATCAAGCCTTTAAATCTACCACTTAGTTTATACAAATCTCAGAATGGGGTAGGTTACAAACCAAATGATACCACAAGTAAACAAGCAGGCAAATTTGGAAACTAGTGGTCTCTTTAGCAAGTCAGCATCATGAAAAAAAAAGTAACTGATTTGGGTTAGAAGAGCCTTAAAGAACATAATAACCAGACATGATGCAAGGATCTAGATTGGGCCCTTGTTTAGATGAACCAGCTATAAAAGACATTTCTCGTATGAATGGAGAAATTTGTGTATGCCCTGGATATTAGATAAAATTTTATTGACATGTAAAGATAGCAATTATTAACAAAGCAGATTATAAAAAGCACATACAGTATGATTATATTTTGGCAAACACACACACACACAAAGACCTGGAAGGATATTTGGTACTTTTATATTNAAAAAAAAAAAAGGAAAAAGTATTTGACTACATTAAATTAAGAATTTCGTGCCCGGCCGGGTGTGGCTCAGTGGTTAAGCATCAACCTAGGATCCAGGCGATCAGGGTTCGATTCCCGGTCAGGGCACATGCCCGGGTTGCGGGCTGCAGCCGATCAGTGACTCTCTCATCATTGATGTTTCTATCTCTCTCTCTCCCTCTCCCTTCCTCTCTCTGAAATCAATAAAGATATATTTAAGAAAAAGAATTTCGCATTTATGCACAACCCAAGGACATGGACAATGGTGGGGAGAGGGATGGGACGGGGTGGAACGGGTCATTGGGGAGAAAAAGGGACATATGTAATATTTTAAACAAAACAAAAAATTAAAAAGAAAAAATATATATATTTCTCTTCCTGACAATGGAAACCTTACAAATAATCCCACGTAATAATGTTGAAGGAATGATAGAATTATAATTATTCTACAACCCTAATGAAATTATTGATTCAGATTTCAGGTAAGGGTTATCAGCTGGTGTGTGGTTGATAGGTAATTGCCATTCATATAGTGCCAAAATAACATCACACAGATTACTTAATAGTTGGCAACGAGGGAATGTAACTACAATGGAAGGATTACACCAACATCACCTGAATCAAGGGGCTAATTCTGAGCATCACTAATGATGAGTCATATTAACATTATGCATCTCGATATAACGCAATATGAAATATATAAAATTACCTAAAATGTATTCTAACCAAAATGTTTAATATCAAGCCTTTAAATCTACCACTTAGTTTATACAAATCTCAGAATGGGGTAGGTTACAAACCAAATGATACCACAAGTAAACAAGCAGGCAAATTTGGAAACTAGTGGTCTCTTTAGCAAGTCAGCATCATGAAAAAAAAAGTAACTGATTTGGGTTAGAAGAGCCTTAAAGAACATAATAACCAGACATGATGCAAGGATCTAGATTGGGCCCTTGTTTAGATGAACCAGCTATAAAAGACATTTCTCGTATGAATGGAGAAATTTGTGTATGCCCTGGATATTAGATAAAATTTTATTGACATGTAAAGATAGCAATTATTAACAAAGCAGATTATAAAAAGCACATACAGTATGATTATATTTTGGCAAACACACACACACACAAAGACCTGGAAGGATATTTGGTACTTTTATATTTTTAATTATCTGTGTTTTCTAAATTTCTATAATATATACATACTACTTTAAAAAGATAAATATTTACAATAAAAAAATCCATTAAGAATAGATGCTACAGAGAGGTGACATTCTAAGAGAAAACACTGGCAACACCTAAAACCAACTAGAAATTATCATCAGAAACAGATTTCTTCAACTGAGATTCCTCTCCTGAATCTGAAAACCTAGCAAGTAATCTAAGTAACTATTTTCTCAACTCTCCCAAGGATGGTAGGTAAATAGTACCAGTCTAGATACATTGGAGAACACTAAATTTATTATGTATAATACATGTCTTAGGGTAAGAGGGCTTAATTCTCTGTAGGAACTAAACTAAATTATGCAAGGATCTCCTGTAAAGCAACAAGAAAAAGATTAAAAAAAAAAAATCTCAATAGAAAATTTGGTCAAGAATATGAATGTATGTGGCTGGTGTGGCTCAGTTGGTTGGAGCATTGTCCCGTACACCAAAAGATCATGGGTTCGATTCCCAGTCCGGGCACATACCTAGGTTGCAGGTTCAGTTCTGGTTGGGGTGGGTTGGGGCACATACAGGAGACAACCAAATGATGTTTCTCTCTCGCACTGATGTTTCTTTCCCTTTCTCTCTCTCTCTCTCACTTCCTCTCTCTAAAAATTAACAAACATATGGGGGAAAAAAGAATATGAATAGACAGGGAAACCAAAAGAGCTAGTACATGAAAAGATCTCATTAGTAACCAGAGGAATGCAAATTACAATGAGATCACTTTATACCAATCAGATTGGCAAAATTAGAACACGGGATCATGCTATGTGCTGTCAAGGATATGCAAAACTGAGATCCCTTATGAACTCCTGATCAAGAGTGTAAAATGCTACAGCCATTTGGGACAGTAATCTGATGATATTGCTGAAATTCATTTGTATGTGTCCTGTGACCCAGCAATTCCACTTCCAGCTACAATTATGAGAAACTCTGGCCCTGGGCCCACAAGGACACATGTATGAAGATGCTCACGGTGGCACCATTTGTGGAGGCAGAAAGTGGGGAGGCAATCTAGTCTAGGTCTCCAACCTCAGGGGAATGCATAAATAAAATATGGTGAATGCATACCATCGACTTCTGTGCAGTAGTTAGAAGCAAAGAACTAAATGTACATAAGAGCAGCATGAATAGATCTTGAAAAGAGTATTGAATTAAGAAACAAAACACATGATCCATAACTCAGTGCCATTTATGGAAACTTAAAATGCATACAAAACAATGCTTTAGCTTTTCCAGGGTACAAACATAATCCAAGCATATGGAGGGATATCTATGCGGAAAAGGGGAGTGGGCAGGGGATTGGAGATAAAGGAAAAAAATAAAAAGAGAAAAGGATTTGCATAGACAAATGATGATTAAGTGCCACACACTGAGGAGTATGATGAACTCAACATTCTGTACCTAAGTCTTAAAAACAAAAACAAAAAAACCTCCAAACAAACAAGCAAACACTAGCCAAGTGGGGTAGAGATGGGAATGGTCTCAGGGAAACCTGTAACAGAGGTAGTTGGAGCATAGAAGAAAAAGCACTGTGCTTCAAAGTCAGATAACCTGGGGTTGAATGTGAGCTCTGCTGCTTACTGGCTCTTTGACCTTGGATGCATCCCCAACTTCCTCATTTAAAAAAAAAAATAATCAAACAGGAATACAAGATGTGCATACAAGCAGATAGCAGAACCACTCCTGACACAAGGAGTGATTCTGTGGGTGTGGATAACACTAGATAAACATTAGATTCAGGAGTGGGTGTGGGATAACATTACTCAGGAATGCACTTCTCCAAGATCATCCCATTCAAACTGCAAGTGGTGACCCATTAACAGGTCATGAAATAAGTTTAATGGATCTCAAACAGCATTAAAAGGAAAGAAAACAATATATCAGAGAGTATGTCACTGAAAGTATCATTTTATAAAACTCTTATTTCAGTTATATATATAGGGTATCTCAAAAAAACTGTATACACACTTTGAATAATTATTAAATCCAATGGGTTAAATCTGAAAAGAAAGAAACATCAGCCCTAGCCAATTTGGCTCAGTGGTTAGAGCGTTGGCCTGCAAACTGAAGGGTCCTGAGTTCGATTCCAGTTAAGGACACATAACTCAGTTGCAGGCTCAATCCCTGGCCCCTGTCCGGGCACGTGCAGAAGATAACCAACTGATGTGTCTCTTTCACATTGATGTTTCTTTCTGTCCCTCTCCCTCTTTCCCTCTCTCCCTCCCTCCCTTCCACTCTCTGAAAAGCAATGGAAAAAATATCCTCGGGTGAGGATTAAAAAAAATTTTTTTTAAATA